GGACGAGTTCACCGAGTTGATAAGTTCCATCTCGGAGTACCATACCTACCGAGTTGGGCGGGGCCGATGTTCGTCGCTGCTCGCACAACATATGAATGCGCCAAACGACGTCGTCTGGTCGATTGTTCGGCAATTCGACAAGCCCCAGAGCTATAAGCATTTCATCAAGAGCTGCACGGTGAAGGAAGGGTTTAGGATTGCGGTTGGTTGCACGAGGGATGTCAACGTGATCAGCGGGCTACCGGCTGCTACCAGTACGGAGAGGCTTGACATACTGGATGACAACCGTTTTGTCACCGGCTTCAGCATCATAGGCGGTGAGCACAGGTTGAGGAATTACCGATCGGTGACGACGGTACATGGATTCCAGCGTGACAACAGGATCTGGACCGTTGTTTTGGAATCATACGTTGTGGACGTTCCAGAAGGGAACACGGAGGAGGATACGCGTCTGTTTGCGGACACGGTGGTGAAATTGAATCTCCAGAAGCTGGCGTCGCTGACGGAAGCGCGCGCCCGTGGCGGTGACGTTAGCAGGTGAATTGCAGGGTCGTTGACTTATCGGTTTCCGTCTGACATTATGGCCGGAAGGTAAGGGCATTTCAGTCATTGCACCACCCATAGAGATGTGAGGATATGCTTTTATCGTGTTTGTTTCTTGGAATTCTGTGGAGAAAGAAAATAGACTCCTTTTCTTTTGTGCCTTTTTTTTTTTCAAAAAAAAAAAAATTATTATTATGTATTATACAAGTTGGGGATTGTGCTTTCCTTTTTAAAAAAATATTTTTTTTTTTCTTGGCGTTGTTAATTTATCTTTTAAAAAAGAAATTGTTGATTTTTATATTTCATTAGCAATAAAATTATTATTTTCTTGTAAAATAATAATTTATAATGTTATGGTTTTTCTTTATTCATTTTTCTTCAATTCAAACTCAATCCACTTTAATTGAATACACAAAATTCATTAATTATATAATTACAGAATCCATCGTTGGTCCACCGAATGGGCCACAAAATTTTGCCTGTTTAATTCAATTGAACAAAAAGGTGACGACGACACTGATTTCAATTGCCTAAAAGCATGTTCAATTAAAGGTTTATATATATATATATATATATATATATATACTGAAAAAAAATCTTATGCAATTAGATCTCCAACACATTAAATTAATTTTCCTTTTAAAAAGATTTGATTAACAAGTAGGGATTGAATTTAGAATTGAATAAGAAAAGAATGGAATAGAATATGATTCTAATATTAATTCACTTATGTAACAGAATTAGATTTTCAATTTTAATTTTTGGCTCAAATGAATTTTAAATGGAATCATATTGCTATTAGAACTAAAATACTTATAAACCCTTAATTAATATTTTCAAAATTTTAAATTAAATGTTCAATATTTGAAACAAAATAAACAATTAAAATTTCAAATTTACTTACATAATTAAGAAATTTTTTTTCTTATTTTAAATGAAAATTTGACTAACAATTTCTTTTTCAAAATTAATCTCAATATTTTTATTAAAATATTTGATAAAAATATTAAATATAACAAATTTTATTTATCGATAATTTTAACATGAAATTAACAAAATATAAAACTATATATATATATATACATAAGGAATAACTGTAACACCCAAAGATTTTTCTTGTATTTTTATTTTTATCTTATTTTAATTTAATTTGGAATTTTGTTTATTTTATTTTATTTTAATAATTAATTTATAAGGTTTTAATTTAATTTAATAGAAATAAAAATAAAAATAATAATAAAATATGATAAAATTATTTTTGCGATTTAATTGAAATTGAATTTGAGAAAAAAAAGCGAAAATTTGGATTCTAGGGGTGTTTTTGTAACGGCTCCGGAAATTTAAAATGAAATAGGTGTATTAAAAATGTCAAATGCGGAAGCGAAGTCAAAATTTCGATTAACATCCTTACACTAAAACCAAAAACGTGCTCAAAATATAAAAGATCAAACTAACTAAAGGAGAAACTCGAAAGTAAAAGCTATGAATATGACTATGGAGTCTTTATGCGTCCTCTTCGTCGTCTTCCTGCGGAACGGGCTCGGGAACAATGTCTTCCTGATCTGAAATGATTAAATAAGGAATGAGTTACACTAGCCCAGTAAAGACATCACGATATCTCACCGTCACGGAGGTAAAGGTGGGTAGAAAACACAAAAAAAACCAATGGAACATAATTTATAACAAATCCTTTTATCAATAATAAAACTTTTACCATCCACTTATCTCGGTGAAATTCATAAAACAGTATACGAAAGCAATAACATTATCATCATCATGAAATCATATAAACTGTATAACATAATACTTATCACGCCTTTTGTAATTCAATCATTACACAACATATTTTTCCTCTTTTACCAGCCTACTAGTATCCATGGGGATCCATAGGGGTCCCGCTACCCGTGAACCCTTAACACTTGTAATCAGATTCCAGGGCCATCCCCATACCCCGTCCGGTATGGGCGCCAAAACTATAAACCTCAATACCCCGTCCGGTATGAGGGTGAAACGGGCCGTCCCCATACTTCGTCCGGTATGGGCGCCAAAACACATAAGGTCTCTATACTCCGTCCGGTATGAGAGACCACAATCCCGGTAGGGTTCCCTACGGACCCGGTCCGTCCACCATCTCCCAGAATATCTAGTCAAACTGATCACATTATACAATTATCAATTTACATAACCTTTCACTCCCCT